AAATTAAGAATCTCAGTGAACCGCCAGTGGGATAAATAGAAAGGTAACTATACCTAGAAACATCATAGTCAAACTTCTGAATTCTAAAGATGTAAAGATACTTTGAAGGCAGCCAGAGAAAAATAACTTATTACATTAAGAAAATAAAAATAAAAATGAGAGCTGACTTCTCATTAGAAACAGTGGAGGCCAGAGGGCAATATCTTAAAAGTGCTGAAAGAAAAAGAAAACTTGTCAACCCAGAATTCTTATCCAGTAAAACTCTCTTTTGAAATGATGGTGAAATAAAAACACTTTTAGATAAAGGGAAACTAAAATGGTTCTTTGTTAGCAGACATACACTATAGGAAATATGAAGGAAGTTCTTCAGCCCAAAGAGACAGGACACTAGATAGAAATTGGGATCTACAGGAAGGAGTGAAGAACACTGGAGATTGTAAATATGTGGGTAACTACAAAAAACAAAATATAATTTTCTTTCCTTCTTTAAAATGTTTCTAACTTCTTTAAAAGACATATGACTATATAAAGCTAAAATTATAATGCTGTTTTGTAGAGTTTATAACATAGGTAGATGTAACGTATGACGATAAGAATACAAAAGATGGTGGTGTAAAACAAACTACACTATAGCAAGCTTCCTATTGTGTAATTGTCCCTTTAAGTAGATATTAATACGTTAATGGTGCATATTGTAATCCATAGAATCACCACTAAAAGATTAATGCAAAGAGGCATAGCTCAAAATCCAATGGAGGAATTAAAATGGACACTAAAAAATATTTGATTGTCTCAAAGAAGATAAGGAAAGAGAAACAGAACAAAAATAGTTTAGACAAATAGAAAACTAACGATAAATTGATTGACTTAAACCTAATCATATCAATAATTACATTAGATATAAATGGATTAATTGCTCCAATTGAAAGACTTTAGGTCAAATTTGAAAAAGCACAACCCAGCTATATGATGTTTACAAGAGACATACTATAAATACAAAGGTGCATATAGTTTGAAAGTGAAAAAACGTATACCATGTAAATGCAAATAATAATAAAATTAAGTTGTTTTATTAGTATCAGACAAAATGTGACTTCAAGACCATATATTATCAGAAATAAAGAGGGGTAATTCATAGTAAAAAGTGTCAACTCATCAGAAGAACATAAAAGTGTTAAATGTGTATGTACCTAATATAAAGCCTCAAAATACATGAAGCAAAATCTAACAACTAAAGAGAAAAATAGACAAATCCGTAATCATAGTTGGAAACTTTAACACTCTCTTCTAATTGATAGGAAAACTAGGCAAAATCAGTAAAAGTATAGAAGATTTGATCAACACTATAAAAGATCTTGGCTTGTCATTTATATATAGACTATCACACCCACCAACAGCAGAATACATATTCTTTTCAAGTGCACATGGAATGTTCACCAAGGTAGATCATATGCTAGGTCATAACAAGTCTCAAGAATTTTCAAATGATTGAAATTATACAGGTTATATTTTTTAATCACAAGGTAATTAGATTAGAAATCAGTAACAATAAAGTTGCTGAAAAGCCCCAGGTGTTTGGAAATTAGAAGACACACTTGTACAATACCCAAAAGTCAAGGAATAAACTCAGGTGACATTACAAACTATTTTAAACTGAATGATAATAAAATACAACATACTAAAACAAAATTTGTAGATGTCGCTAAAGCAGTGCTTAGAGGGAAAGTTATGTAGTCTTAAATGCTTATATTGTAAAAGAAGAATGGTTAAAAAAAATCGGTGATCTAAGTTTCTACCTTAAGAAGCTAAAATAAATAAGTGTGAGTTACATAAGTAGAAAGAAGAGAATAAAAAGAGCAGCAATCAATGAAATAGAAAAGAAATAAATAATACAGACAATTAAAGCCCAAACTGATTATTTGAAAAGATTTATTAGGAAAAAAGAAGAAAAAACCCCAAATAACAATACTGGAGTAAAAGAGGAACTATCACTACAGATCACACTGGTATTAGAAGAAAAATAAAGGAACATTGTGAATGACTTTATGCCAATAAATTTTACACTTCAGATACCAAATGTGCCAGCTATAGAAATGCACGGCTTTGATTTCCCTTCAAGAAAGAATTTGCTAATCAGCCCTGAGGAGTGCAGTTAGCTGATAGCTTCCAACTATAGCACATTCAAGATCCATGGCAGCTTTCAGGCCAAGGCCATACACACTCTTTCTAGGTAGCCTCAGTCAGTGAGCATGGTGGAGGCACCAGAGCCTGGCCATTTCTGTCCATTGTGGGACTCCTCTAACAGACAGTGTTTGTTCTGGAGCTTCCTATTGGGTTGACTGAGACCTTGTCAGATGTACATCTGCTTCCTCTCTCCTTTTTTCTTTCATAGGCATCAGATCTGCCTCATGGTCGAAAGGTCTTCAATACCCAGCTGTGCTTTGTGCCTCTTTATCTTTCACAGGCACTGCCTATCCCCCAGTAAACCTCTTGCTCTCCTAACTCCATCTCAGCATTAGCTTCTCAGAGGACTAAACTGGTATACCAAAACTGACTCATGATGAAGTAGAAAATCTGGATACCCATATCTA